AACAGTACTTACTTATAATAAGGTTGTTGTCTGTACATAAAGGACCAGAAAAGCATGGGGCACACAGACAGCGCTCGACATTAGCTATAATAATATTACTACGAAAGGGTGGTAGAGCATCGAGGGCTTCAACCTGACCTGCCTCCTTCCCCAGGTCCAGGCTTTTGGAGTCCTCTCCGGACGCACAGGTTGGGGTGGGCGTGGGGGGTGGGGGGGAGGATTGTGAACTCATCCCCAAACCTTCCCTCCCAAGGTCCTGCAAACCCAGTCGTCTGAGAGACTCCTCCCCATGACAGTCTGGGGGCTGAGACCACACTCCAGGGGGCCTCCAGGTAGAAGCCAGCGTGGGGGGGGGGGTCTCTTCTTCCTTTCAGACCCACAGCCTCAGGATGGCGGTTGAAGCCGCCACCGAGGAGGCGTGAGGTGCAGCGCGCCGCCTAGTGGCACTGTGAGCACATGGGTACCGGCCGCACCAACCACCCAAAGCTGCCCGCTGAGCCTACTGGGACCCCTACAGCTGCCTTTAAATCTTCATTAGTAGTTTGTATTCAGACAAAGCAGAGGATTCCTGTATATTCATTTTAATCCTGTGAGCTAGTAATTGTTCCCATTTTAGGAGTGAGGAAACTGGTGCTTGGAAAGGCTCGGCAGCCAGCCCAAGCTGTCCCAGCAGGTAAGGGCAGCCTCCGGTCTAGTCACCCATCAGCTCGGGATTCCAGAACTCTGTCTCCAGCACACTCTTCTGGTTTGGGAGAACTGAGGGAGCTTGTGGAAGCATTTGCAGTCCCCACCAAGGGTCAAAATTGGCTCTGCGACTGATTCTTCCTTTCTTTTTCTCTCTCTCTCTTCTGACAATAAACACCTTTATTACATGAAGTGTTTTGTTTGTTGTTGTTGTTTTCACATGAGCTTTTAGGAAAAGGGGGGAGGATTTATTTGCCTTTCCAGGCCTTGGATTTCCTCAGCTAGAGCTCCAACCACTGGCCCCCTAAACCATCTGTGTGGCCAACACCAGCCTAGCCTTGAAGCGACGCACGCAAGAAGCTTGCCCTGCTGGAACTGCTCCTCGAGAAGACGACTGATTGTGGCGTTCTTTTCCCTTCATCATATTTCTTCTGAATTTCCTTTGATCGTTTTTTGTTTAAAATTTCTTCCCCCTCAGGAGTCAGTTCGGCCTCTCTTTTGCGGCTCAGGGGCAGCGGGAAACTCATACTGCTGTCACCATGCAGCTCCTTACCAGGGTCTCGGTGCGGACCAGTCCTTTGCTGGGTACGTTGTAGACGACATCAGCAATCCCTGTTCTGCATGTGCAGCACCCCAAGCCCAGGAGAAGTTGCCCTCATCAGCCTCAAGGGTCGGTACTTCCTGCTGCCTCCCCACACACGGACTGTGTACGCAGTGGGGGCCGATCTTAGGTGGCAGCAGGGTGTCCCAGCCCATAGTGTCACTTCTTGTGGCAGGGCTTTCTCCTGTCCCTGCCGTCTTGTGGTGCTTGTGCCAGTTGTCCCTAGAGATGTCCGAGGCTTGGTGCTGGCTGGGAAGAGAAAATGCAAAGAGTCACTGTCCAGTTTGTAAAAAATGTGACTGATTTCAGAGTAGTTATATTGCTCTAAAGCTGCTCTACCTCCAGCCTCAGGCCCCCAGTCACCCAGGAAATAAAGGGGAGGTGGGAGGCTCTGTCTAAGGCCTCTTGGCAAGGCTGTGGGCCCTTTGACCAGTAACTCTTCCCTTCTAGCATCATTGATGTATCCACAACCAATAATAATGTATGCCTGCAACACACTGTTTTAGGTGCTGCTTACATAATGGTGAACAAGAAAGGGGGATACCTCTGCCTCCGAGCAACTTACTGTATCATCTTCTTCCTTAACTCACAGCAAGACTCCTTTGCTGTAAGTCTGATGGCTTTGGGCTTAGGAACATTCTGGAGTAAGTCTTAATCCAGCTACTCCAATGTAGCCCCCCAGAATTGGGCCTTGTCATCTTCACCAGTCCCAGGGAATGTTGTGGGCTTAGGGGCAAACTGGCTCCCTCTGAGGTCCTCTCGCTGGACCCAGGAGATGCCCAGGCTGTGGCGAAATCCTATCTTCAGTGGTTTGCTTAGCTGCAGAGGCTGGGGAAGGGGCTTTCTCCTAGACACTTGAAGGGCATGGGAGGGGGTGCAGGAGAGTGTTGGAGAGATCCGCAGTGTGGTAAGTGCCCGACCCTGATGCTGGAGTTTTGGGGGAACACAGGGCCCAGAACCTCCCATGGGCGCATTTCAAGAATTGAAAGAGTTTTAAGCTAGAGAGGGAAGTGGGGCTGGGACCCACAGGACAGGGGGAAATGACCAATGTCCCTTTACTTGCCCTCCCCACCCCCCACAATCTCCCATTTCTCCAGCCAGAAATTAAACAAAGTCATGAAACCTGACACTTGGACTAGAGATCTACCTGGTGCAATTACCACCTGAATGTTGCCAGCGGTTATGTTTCGAAATATAATCTTTCCTATAAGTCAGCCAGGCAACTGCTCAGCTAGCTGCCTACTGAGCAACCCGGCATCAAGAAATAGACAAGAGTCACACCAGGTTACTATGCAATTCACTCAGCTTTTATTGAATGCAGGTTCACTCAAGGTAAAACATCAACATACATTAATGTCCTACTCACACTTTAACAATCTAGGATGAATATAACACACACACAGCAATCGATGGGGATAACAAATCCAAGTCCTAGCGTCTCAGCCAGCGGGTCTGGGAGGCAGCGCCGTGGGTGAGGGAGCCATCAGCCTCTTCTTGCGAGGAAAAGCCAGCCTCACAGGCCGGGAAGGTGAATCTTGGAACCTATGCCCCTGTATGCGTTTCCTGGTGATCGTTAAGTGTCTAAATATCTATTTATCTTTAGTGTCTTCTGCCTTAGAGTGCATTAGTGCCTTTGGATGTGCATGCCTGTGTATGTGTTTGTGTCTCTTATGGGGGCGTGTGTGTGCTTTTTTGAATCCTGTGTTTTTGGTGTGTGGTTGTCTCTCTGGTTGGGTGCCTGTTTGTGAACTGATGTTTCAAGGAGAGTCATTCTTCACCTGTGTGTCTTTGTTGTATATTTACTTGTGTGTACCTTTGCAGGTGTGTATCAGCCAGTTGTGCCCTGTAATTGTGTCTGGGGGCGCAGCGGTGTGTGTACAGGTGATTGCAGGTGTGTGGACTGGTGGAGCTGGCTGGTATGATAAGCTACTGACTCTCTCATCCACTGCCCTTCACTGGGCTGTCCCGGGCCAAGCTAAAAACAGCCTACCTACCTTTGCCCGTAGGGACTTTTCTCAGTTGGCCAGAGTTCTTCCCCAGGGAGTAGCACTCTACCCATGTCCACCCTCTTGACCCTGGATGCCAGTTGGAGAGGGCTGGGGAGGTGGACTGATTACATACACACTCCCCGAAAAGCTCCAGACTCCAACCTGTGAGGGAGTGTTATGAAGGCGGGTACTGGGAAGTCCTGCCTTTATCTCTCCTTTGAGGAAACATTTGGGGCAAGTCCTCGTTGCTTCTCTGCACCCACAAAGTTCCCTTCCAGCCTACAGGTCTGCGCCTGAATCCTTTCTCCTCCAACTGAGGAGGCACCACTGGGGATGCTTTGCCCTATTCCAGAACACCCCCCACTGGCTCCTGGGCCTGGCAGGACCCCTCTCTAATTTCCTTCATCCCTTCCTGAAGTGGCCCACCATATAGGTATTTGAGGGGTGATTCCAGACCCAGCTCTGGAAAAAATCCCAAGTAGTGAACAGATCAGGGCTTGGTGGAAGAGGCAGTCCTCCAGGCTGCCAGCCCCCTCTCCCAGCTCCGTCCAGCCCCGGAGAAGGCATGGCCGTGGGGGCTCCCCAGCGCAAGGTTTTTTATTTCAAACCCATCTCTCCTGTCCTTTCACTCAGTCACTCACTTACTCATGCACTCAAAGCTGTGTGTTCTTGGGCAAATAACTTTGTATCTCTGTGCTTCAGGTCTTTCATCTGTAAAATGGGGGTGCAAATGATACTTACACAGTTGTGAAGATTCATTGACGTAACGCATGTGAAGAACTGAACCCCATGCCTGGCACCTAGAAGGTCTCACTGATTCACTCATTCTGATGTCTCTGGGTTTCAGTCTCAAGACACCGATCCCCAAACTCCACCGAGCCCCATTTGCCCCTTAGCCCACCCTTGGGTGGCCAGAACTTCCCCCCAGAAATCAGACTGACTGGGAGAGGAGAGATTACTGACATTTGTGCTGCAGTTTTCATACATTTTTTCATTCCATTCTACATTTCCTTATGAAAATAGCTATTGTCATTACTCTCCCCTTTACAGATAGTGACAAAAGGAGTATCAAAATGGTGAAGTAATTTGTTCATGGTCACACAGCAGGTAAGAGACAGAGCTCAAGTGTATACACTGAGCCAAAAATGGCTGCCCTGTCCCCTCTGTCCCACTGTCCCTTGGGGCTGGGTTTTTAACATCCTAGGTCCTGAGGACTGCAAAGGTCCAGAGAGGTCTGGTAAACCGTTCTGCCCAAGGTCCTACAGACAAGTAGGGCCAACCAGGATAATGCAAGTCTGCGCCCAAGTTCACATAGCTGTAAACCTCAGCTTAACCAGAACATGAATGTTAGAGGTTGTCTCATTTATGGAGCCTTTTTGGAAAGGCCCCACATGTGGAAGGCATAGAGTTTAATACACGCCGGGGGAACTAAAGGTGAAAGTCCTGAGTTCACAGAAGAAAGCTGAGAGCACAAAAGTACATTTTCTTAATTTTTGGAAAACAAAATTAAGTAGACTCCGCTCCCAGCTATAATCCAGCCGCCAGGTTTTCCAATGCCCTGGGCGCAGCGTTTCGCGAGGTCCCCCCCAAAGGTCCCCCAATACTGTCAAGGCCGCGCCCAAGAGGCCGTCGGTTCCCCCCTTCAAGGCCCCCCTCAGGCTCCGCCCACTCACGTCCAGGCTCCGCCCCGCGGCGCAGTACCCCTGGGCTACCAGACTTACTAGGACTAGCGAGCTGCAACGCTCAGCATTGTGGCAGGCGGCGAGGACCCGTGAGGGTGCCGAGGCTGCGGGCTGCGGTGGGGCACAGAAAGGCGCACCACAAGGGGGCTCGGACGGCACAGCATAGGCTGTTGCGAACGCGGCTGAGCGCACTCACCTTCGGTCGCCCAACTTCGCAGCCAGAGGGTGTGAGCTCGGAGAGCGCTCGGATCCCGGGAGGCAGAGGAACGCAGAGAGGGGCGCGTCGGAGCCTGGCTCCAGGGCGGGCGCCCAGCACCCGGCGCGCTCCAAGCGCCTGGCGGCCCTCTGTGCAGCGTGGCTGCCGCTGCCCCAACGGAGGGCACGGGCTGGCGCGGCCGGGCGCCGGGGAGGACGGCGTGGAGGCGGCGGCGGCGGAGGAGACGGCGGCGGCGAGGCTGGGGCCAGGGAGAGAGCCCCGGGGTAGAGGCGCCGGAGCCGGGCCACGGGAGCATGTGGGCCCAGAGTGGAGCGCGGGGCGCGCTGCTGCTGGCGCTGCTCCTCTGCTGGGACCCGAGGCTGAGCCAAGCAGGTAAGGAGCGATCGAGCATGGGGACGGGGAATGAGGCATGGGCACCTCGCTTCTCACTCTGGTCCGAAGTTGAAGTGGTCGGTCGCGGCGTAGTTTCGCGCAGTGGAAGCGGCTAGCGCCCCCAAGTTAGAAGGTATATTTCTCTGCCCCACCCAGCTACCTTGTTGGGTAGGGGGTGAGGGGCTGGCCCAGGCCGTGGGGTTCAAAGTAAGCCGGAAACCTCCTGCTCGCACCGGGAAGGGATCGCTTCTTTTACTTGGAACGGTGTCCCGAGTCGGGGTCTGCGCAGCCGGGAGGATCCGCCTCTAGGGGACCGCTGGCTCCTCGCGCGCCAGGCGGCGCCGCCTCAGAAAAACTATAGCTGCCTCGGCCAGGTGTACGCTCGCTTGCGTTTCGCCGGCAACTTCCTAGCCTGGGTCCCGGCTCGCCCAGGCCAGAGGGAGGGAGAGGACTCGTGGAGCACAGGAAGCGCGCATCCGCTCCGCCGGTCGTGGCGGTGGATTGAAGGGCTTTGGCTATTGGAGGGGATAGGGCTGAATTCAGCACGTACATCTTTCCCCGAGATCGGGCGACCCACAGGTCTGGAAGGATTTTTTTTCTCTTTTCTGGGGGTTGTGCGTGTATGGGGTTGGGGGTGAGTACGTAATGATCCTGCTGTTTTTTTGTTTTTTTTTTTAATGGGTCATTGACATTCTCCTCGCCGGGGGAGCAGACAAGGTGCGCTCGCCTCGGTACAGCTCCTACCCTGGACCCATGAAAACGTCTTAAAGGGGTTGGTGGGCTCCTAAAATGAAGTCCCTATCCTTACCCCAACCCCAGCACACCCCCGACATGGATGGGTGCACGTCTCGCTCCTCTGTAGCTGGGCCCAGCGTCACTGACTGGGCTGCGTCTTCCCCGGGAGCCGGCGAGTGCGCGGGAAGCAACCTCTGCCGACGGAACCCAAGCAGGTGGGCTGGCCGCGGCCGCTGGACGCCCCGGCTCCTGGGGCGGGGGCATCCTGTACGGAATCCTCTGACTTGAGGCTGAGTATGGGGCAGGAAAACTGGTGCAGAAAGTGGACGAGGTGACGAAAGCCTCCCTCCTCCACCTTCCGCTGGGATGTTAACATCCGCCACCCCCCACCCCACCCAGTAAACAGCGGTTCAGAGAGTCCTCGCTCTGGAATTAATGATTCCCACGGCCCAGGAGTAAGGGCTTGGATTTAGCACCCCCAAACACACACACACACACACACACACACACACACACACACACACACACGCTTTTTTTCCATGCCTGTGTTGTAAATTACGACATAATCATTTGATCCAAGTTAATTATGATTTGGGCAGACTCTGGTATTTAAAGCAGTGTTTTGAAGTTGGAAGGTAATGACGGGGGGTGAGGGGCAGGCTGCTGAATGACCAACCTTGTTACAAAGAGTACAGTTGGATGTGGGAGGTGCTGGGCTGGGTTGTTGGTTTCTGGTTTGAGGGGAGTGATTGAAGGGTAGGGTGAAGTTTCTGTAAGTGGAACATGGGCAGGGTTGGGTCTTGGGAAGCTGATTTTATAGGAATGGGAACAGGAATAAAAACTGAGGTTACTGGGGTAGTGAGTTCGGGGAGGCAGGAGAAAGACTGGTTGGCCTAGAGTTCTCTGGAGCTGCAGAGTCCTCTCAGCTGGGGAAGCTGGGGGTGGACTGCCTTCGCCACTTAATAAAGCATCCAGCCCCCACTTTCCCCAGAAGGAACCCCAAGCCCGGGGCTTTGATGGATTTGGGTATGAATGGTGCCCAGCCAGAATGGCCTCTAATACTGGGCTTTGATTTCTCACTAGCAAGCAGAACCGGTGTTGGAATTGTGCTCGTTACTTAGCACGGCAGGGGCTGCCTGCCCACCAGCCTGGAGAGGGGCCAACTGCCGGGGTTGGCCTGTAGCCTTCCCGTTGCTCAGAATGTGCGGCCCTTAGAAACCTGACTTCAGGAGGGAGAATGTGTCCCTTCCTCCTCCACAACCCTCATGCCACAGGCTCCGAGCATCTTCCAGGATGTTCTTTGGGTCTTCCATTGAATCCCTCATGAGCCCCATTTCATGGATGAGGAAAAGCAAGGCCAGAGCGTTGGCTTTCTTTATGTCTTGTCTTCACTTGCCCGCAGATCCAGATCACAGACTTGTATGCAGGGCCTCTGTCCAATGGCCACGCTGATTCAGGCCACACTGGACTCTTCCTCGTGGCCCCACTCATTTCTCTACCATGAGCCTGAGATCAAGCTGAGGCGGAGAAGTCTGTCCCACCTTTATCTTGGTGGTGTCCCCCTCCTTTCCCTCACCCCACCCCCAGTGAATATGAGAATGGTTTTTAAGGCATGAAGTTTGATGGTACAGAAATCAAACCTGGAACCAAAAAACCGCAGACCCTTAGAAAGACATGTCAGCAAGTGACTGACCAGGAGAGGCCACTTCAAAGCTGGGTGGGCCCCGGAGTCTCCTCCCACCCCACCCTCAGACCTTCCTGGAGCTTTTAATGAGCCTTTCCTTGGCCTCTGGCTGGGGTGGCTAAGAAGGAACTGAGGTGCCATGATAACACTTCTTTCCAAGGTGCAATTAAAATCGGAGTTTTCCTAGTGTCGGTGGTGTGCTTGCCCATGCGCGCGCGCGTGTGTGTGTGTGTGTGTGTGTGTGTGTGTGAGAGAAAGAGATGGTCGTCGTCTTTGGCTCCCTCTGCAGTGTACCAAACACCCATCTCACTTAAACAAATGGAAAATCAAGAGTGTCTTATGGAAATAAGCTAGTCAGAGAAAGACAAATACCATATGATTTCACGTATACGTGGAATCTAATGAACAAAGTTATCTAACAAACAAAATAGAATCAGACTTCAACTGTCAGAGGGGAAGGCAGTATGGGGGCTGGATGAAAAGGTGAGGGGATTAAGCCCCCAAAAATCCACAAAAACCTCATAGACAGACAATAGTTGGGTCATTACCAGAGGGAAATGGCGGGGGATGGGGGCGGCAGGGGGTAGAGAGGGCATACATGGTGATTAGGAGGCATGACTTGGGGTGGTGAACATACAGTACGATGCACGGGTGATATGTTATAGGATTGTACACCTTAAGCCAATATAATTTCATTAACTAATGTCACCCCCAAAGATTCATTTTTTTTAAAAAGTGCCATAATGGGTTTCTCATTAAAGTACAAGTTCCACTACCGGGGAGGAATTTCTGATGTGATCTCTTCTCTCTTCCATTGCCACCCCCAAACTGGGAATTCTGTAGGACAAAACAATTCCCCCTTTTCCGGCCCACTTACTTAACTACTGAAGCTTTGGGACAGGCCCTGACCTGCCCAGGGTTACACTGGGGCTCAGGAACAGAGCTGGCATTGGACCTCCGTCCTCACAAACCTCAGTCTAGTCCGTCCAGTTCCTTTGTTCCACCGGGCCGCAGACCAGCCACTGAGGCTGTGACTGAGGTTCTGAAGTTCAGTTACCACCTAAGAGAAGGCTGGTTAGCTGTGTTAGACAGACTGGTAGCAGGATGTGGGAAAGAGGGAGAGGTGGACCCTGGACCCTGGTGGGACAGGGCAGGACCGAGGTCAGAGGTGAGGCCCTGAGCTGAGGGTAGTGCCCAAAGACGGCTTCACCCCTGCTGGGGCACCTGTCTTCTCAGCAACCACCCCAACCTGCCCCAGGTATGAATAAAATAAATCACAAGCCAAGCTCTCTTGGGCCCATCTCCCTCTGCACCCCACTTTGTTGAGTTTCTGCTGGATTGAAGGTACTTTGAACTTGTTCCTGGTGGTTAGGCCTAAGATGGGGTTGCCTGCCCCCATCCCCTTTCCTTCCCAGGGCTTAGAGAGCAAGGCTGGCGATTCTGAATGGCCTGTCCTGGAGCCTCCCCCAGGGCCTGCTGGCTAAACGTGGTCTTTTCAACCTCAGCACTGGGGTTGGGGCCACCAGGGCCTGAGGGAAGGGGAGGAGAAGCCAGAGCACAGGTTGGGACTCGGCCCTTGCCCATCGTGGCTGGGTCTGGGGAGTGAAGAGAACTGCTTGGCCGTCTGGCGCTGGCTCGGGGTGGGGGTGGGGGGTAGAGGAAGAGAAGCCAGCAGAGCAGTGGAGGCCCAAGCTGGTGTTTCTCCTGGCCTCCTCCTCCTCTTCCTCACCAGTTTCTTAAACAGCTTCCACAAAGGGAGTCATTAAAGCTGTGAAGGCAAAATGAAACCAAACAAGTGTATTCTGTGCTTTTCTGTTAGTTGGGATTTTTTAAAGGGAAAATTTAAAATTCCGTAATTAGAATAACACAAGGAAGGGCAGTTTCTGGAAGCTGGAGGGAATCTGCACTCTGTACTTTTGAATTTCTTGGGGCCTGTGCTCTGCTGAATGCCGCCCCACCTCAGCCCCACCCCCAGCCCCAGGAATTTCTCCCTGACGGGCGCATTTTGGTGCGCCCGAGCTAGAGGGGGCCAGGTGAGGCTGCCTTGGCTTTTTGAGAGAAGTCTGGCATCCCGTAGCTGGCCTGGCCCCTCGCTGTCAGTTGAGGGGCAGCACACTGGATTTGAACTCCTTTCCAGTGCCGCCACAGCTGCTGCATGCCCCCAGCCCCGCAGAGCACGCCAGCTCCAGTGAGATCAATCCACAGGTCTCCAGCTGCGCCCGCTATCTCTGATCCTCCGCTTCCAAGATGCTAATGGCCGCGGAAACCGGTTTGCTGAAGTGCAGGCAGAAATCAGCTGCCTCCTCACTGCCCCCAGCCACAGGCCCCTACCCCTTTTGCTTCTCTTCCTTCTGCCAAGAGCACCGGGTTGCTGGGAGTTCCAGAATTTACCCTTGCCAGCCTAGCAGCCTGATTAGCATCTCCATAGCTCATTCACCGCGGTACCAGCCGCACACCTTGGTACCACCTCCTTCCCTTCCTCTCCTGTGTCCCCCGGCCCCCTCGCCCCCTGCCCCCGCCTTGCTGAGCTAGCCGGGGGAGCTCTCACACCACTGCCACAGGAGTGAGAGCGCCCAGCCAC